CATTTTAATAATTTTACATTTTATATTTGTTAAGGTCAGTTAACATAGTAGACATGTGTTAAATTTACATATAAATATGTAAATTATTTAACACAAAAATTTTAACAAGAACAGATTTTAACACAAACTGTGTAATTACTGGTCAGATTATTTTGTCAAGCTTATATAATATACTCTCTATATAATATACGCTCTATATAATATACTAATTTTATGTTAATTATATTTTGTATCAAATATATGTTATATTTTAAAATAATATATTCAAAGAGCAATTTTATTCATAAAAAAATAACATAATAATTTGTAGCTTAATATATCATGTTAATATCAAATATTCTATGTATACGAATTATATAATGAAAATAACAAATTAAGCGTATAACAAAATATTATACAATATTTTATGTCAGAGGATATTAAAATAAATTTAAATAATACAACGTAAAAAATTAACATTTATAGAAATCCTAAATTAATTGAGATTGTATAATGTTAGTTATTCTAACAAGTATATATCAAGATTAAAAATATATGTTATATAGTTAAGGAAAACATTATTAATTCTTCATAATTTTATCAAAATATTACCGATAAAACAACGTCTTTCAGTAGGAGAAATATCTAATAGAACAATGTATTCTAACGTATAATGTGAACTTCTTATGCATTGCCAAAATTGTAACCCGACTATGCGGTAACCCGATAGAGCCCATAGATTCTGTCTACCAAGGGTCAAACAGGGTCCTGACGGGACACCGTTTGATTGTGATTTGTGAGTTCGGGGTTCCGAAGCTAATAAGTAGTTCAGAGACACAACGTCGGCCAGTAGTTCTGCTCGATGATAAAGCGGACCAGGCTTCCAACTTAAAGTTGACAGACAATGATCGATTAGCTCGCATCAGTGCTCGACAAGAGGCAAATAAAGGCACGATTTGTGAACATAACAATCTTTTTTCCTTTTATAAACAAGGAAATCTGTTGTTTCGAGGAAATTACATGTCCAATTTGAAAAACTATTTCTGTTCCCTTCAGAAAAAATAAATCTTTATTCGAGATTATATTCAGAAGCAAATAATTGCTCAATATATTTTCACAAATTTACTATCCATTCTCAGAAGAGGTATGATGAAAATTTTTATCAGAAATCTTCTAAATGTCAAACTTTCAGGATAACGCCCGCAAAGATAAACGAGCGGTGGAGGAAATTCGATGAATCATATCGTACATTTTCTTTACAATGCTGCACCGGCAAAATTGATTTTTGATAAGATCGATCGGCGACCTGGACAAACTGTTCGAAATGCGCAATTTAACAAGGAATTTTTGTGTTGTTTATTTCCCTTCAAATATCGTTTAAATCATGTCGTATATGTACATATCGAATTATCCATATTTAAATTAAATAATTGCGGTCAAAAAAATTTATGATATTCATAATTTGAAATAAAATTCTAAGTTTCCTATTGTAATATGATTTTAATTTCGTTGCCTATGATTTTTAAATCATGTTTATTTTTTCATTTTCTATCGCGTTTACGTTACAATTTAAATATTTAAAATATTAAATGTTAGAAAAATTTAATACCTTATATTTCTCTTTCGAAGCAAAAGTGCAGAAAAAGTTAAGAAATCTTATATCCAATAAGCAAGTAATTTATCACAAATTGCGACTTATCACACGTCGATGTGCACACAGTCGTCTTACGCGTGACAAGCGAATTAGATGCGGCGGAAGTTTACATTTACAGATTAATCATCCCCGAATGCGGCATTCATGCATAATCGTGCCCAGCAAGTCGTGCTCGCTTAAAGGCGAACGATCCTGAATACGTTACCAACCACTTTCAGTCACTGGGGAACATGTGGGGATCCAATTACCTCTGCGGTGAGGACGCGTAATTAACATCTTTGATGATGTTCCCTCAGCGTTACCGATGCACCCTCGATCAGATCCTCCCTTCCCTCCCCTCCCCCCCCGCCTCTTTGTACGTACGTGCACGAAATTTAATTAATCACGCGACGTGATTGCCGCGGGAATCTCGCGCCCGAGACCGGAATAATCAAAATGCATCCTACAATCGCCTGTGATTTCAATGGCGGAGCATGCCCACCACGGATTTCCGGTGGTTGTTACAGCCCCGTGTTACCGCGCTCAGCGAGGAACAAACTTTGAGCGCGTGATGTATTTTCCAAATTATGCTCGAAGGACAGCAAGCTCGATAAACTCCTGTACATAACACAGCAAGGCTCAATTGTGCCAAGCAACTAAATAAGCTTGACTCGGTGATTTGCCCATTCATCGTAAATCATAGCTTCATCCACGACATAAATTTCAAGTTCAATAATGTCTTCATTTCCTATCCTATTATCATTAATCTCTAAATGATATTATTATCATCGTGGTTTTATCCATCATTATAAATATTCATATTTTTTTGCTTCTAAATTCCAAACGTTACAGTTTTAAAATAACTTGGAATAATTTTCCGTTTATTATAATATTTGTTAAATGTTATTTTAAGATAGTACAAGGAAAATGTCAATGCAAGTCTCAGCGAAATTATACTGCGGTAAATTACTAGATGCAAAGTATCGTTTCGCGAAATATTCAAATTGTTATTGGTTTCCGTCCAAGCCAGAGAAAAAGAGTAATCTTACGGCCGACTGCGATTTTCAAGGATGAGAAAATCGAAGGCGAGAAAACAAAGAGAGAAAAAAAGAAACGATGCTGGAATCTCGTCAAGATTTTAATGAATTTATTTAGATCTGCCTAATTGGATTGCTTTAAATCCAATTACACATATTCACACACACATTCGCTTCTATCAGAATCTACGACTTTGTGTTGATCACCGATATTCTATTTGCACACGTCTATCAAATCTCTGCATACGAATGTAATATTAGGTACAACGATTCACAATTTAGTTTTACATAAAATAAGAAAGTAATCCTCGTGTCTAATTATTCATATCACATAGGCAAGTATTACGAACAATAAGTTACATTACACGTCTCATTTAATTCAAAATTCGTGTTAATTAAACGGATAAGATAATGTAATGTCTAACATTATCAAGACTAAGATATTTCGAAACTTCAGAGAAATTAGCATATGCAAATAGCTGCAGAACTATAAGCGATTAAATTCTCACCACAAAGACCATATCTTATTCTGTAAAACATTTATTCTACAAGATTTTCTCATTTCTTTTCTCATTTTTTAAAATCTGCATAATTCATCAAGATGCATCGATGTACTGTGCTAAACAAAATTCAAATTTATAGTATTTTTAATTCAACAATTTTTGGAAAAAAAAAATCTTAATTTTCACAGAGTTTCATCTTGAAGATGAAGTCGTTACCGCTATTGTATAACTTTTGCATTATAATAAAAGGAAGGCGTGTGACGCCTTCCTAATTTTTCACGAATAAAATGTAAATCTTCGTCTCAAAAGATATTTTAATAAGATAACTCATTATAGAATTTAATTTAAAATACATTGCATTGAATAAATGTTCATCCGGTGTTCTAAAACAAATAAAAACTTAAAAAATAAATTTTAAAAGCATAATCATTGTAAAAAAAATATTATAACATGCAGAAATAAAATTTTTCGTAAATCGAGAACAATTTACGATTCAATGATACCGCTGACACTACATAAACATATTCTTTTTCTAATTTTTTTATATCAATATCACTTGCGGCAGATGAGCGTTACGTGTGTGCCTCTTTACTCTGAAATAACCAAAGATAAAACTCACGAAGACGAAACGGGAAACGCCACGGGGAAACTTTCCCAGGAGAGATAACTTCGTCCTGGCGCCGGCTGAATATACATTTAAGTTTTGAAACATGCGAAAAGTAATTTCGTGCTTTCGAGCGTAACCGCGATTCTGGACCGCTGCGGGCGAAGGTTAGTCCGCAGGAGGACGAATTACCCAGCAGGTTAATTGTGAGGCGGTTTAGGCGGAGGGAATCGCGCCGCTGATGTACCACGACCCTAAAATTGAATTATGTCATCCCCGCGTAAATATGCATGAGATGTCCTTCCAGTGCTTCCTGGAAGCGGCTCGTTAAAAAACTCAAACAGATGGAAATTCACGATTCGTGGGATGGTCGACAAGAAAACGCATCGAAAAACACACATTGTTCGGCGCGATTTAATCAGGAACATTTCTTTCTTCTGGATTCCCATCAATGACGTGTTTTTACGTGTCGCTCAAGTCATTTCTAATTAATTAATTTATTTTAGAAAGAGAGACCCGAGCCATCATCGCAAATTTCCAATTAAAGATGATGACTTTGCCAGCTTGTTCTTTTTCATTTTGTATCTCTCGTCATCATGTAAAGAGATATGTTTCCGTGTTTTTAATATAAATTTAATTAACGTAACTAATTAACAAAATTAATCGAGAGTGCTTTATTTCCGTGCAAATTGCCTCGTTTGAGAATAAAAGTATAAGAGGCACTTTGATCTTTTTCGATATTTCAATTTATCTATATTTCGCCTCGCCTCTTCACAATCTAGGAATATTGCAAAGAGGCTGGAACTGATCGATAGGGATTTATAAGTCGACCGGATATCAATTCAATAATGATGTCAATTCGCTCGCAGCTTAACGATCGACAGATAAAAGAAGCATCGGTAGTATACTTTCTGGTAATAGTACACCAGGAGAGATTCGTCGTCGTCTTTTTTGGCATCGAATCAGTAAAACTTTTTGCCACGATCAATAGCTAAAAGGGAAGACTCGCATCGACCGATTGCCAAGCAACTCCCAGTCATTCTGAAATCGAAAAAGTAGTGACGTCGAAGACGCTTTCAAGATGCCATGACAAAGCTTTATATCTACAAGAAGCTATGAACTTAATGGCAGATATATTTCATTTTTCTCTATCTCTAAAGAAAGAGAGAACATTGTTTGTCATTGCTATTTTTCTTAATCGTTAAAAAAAAAATTCAATCAGTCGGATTTCATATATAATTGTCAGAAATAATAGTTTCGTCTCAAAAAATAAAATTTCATCAAAAGTCAAGGGAAAGGAGCTCGCGATGACGAAACTTTCTGGGAAAGTTTAAGTAGCTCTAAAATTAAGAAAATCGGATACAACATTGAACAAAGCATCGCAAGCGGACCTTTGACGAAGAGTACGCGTCAATAGGCGACAGAGGATATTTTCTCTTCTCACCTTCCTAGTTCCTAACACAATTAACTACAACAGTACTGAAATCGAATTAGTTCGTATCGGATGCTGCTTAATTTCGCTAGCCTGGCAGCTACATCGATAGCTACTGCAGTTTTCCCGGAGTCTGACAACGACCGACTTTTTATAGGTCGAATAAAGTTGAAGCTGTTTCTTTTTCTCTCCATGCATCCCTCTCTTCCTCTCTCCCTTTCTCTCCCTCCGGTTGACACTTGTCATACGGTATCTCTTTCGGTTTAATGCGGAATTGGAATATGGGTCGTGTATGCGCGAAAACAACGAGACGCTTCGAAGTCAATGTGCGCTTGCGTTTATTCTGGTAAACGAGAACCGAATGATTTTGCCCGAAGGAAGAGAAAGGGATATGTGATCCCGCGGTAAGTGCTTCAAGGCACAGTGCCTCCCGGAATATATACGTCAAGGAAACCTTCATTGAATGATAAGAGATGAGATTCTCGCAAGCCAAGCACTTTGCTGGAAATTCGTTTGGCTCGATTCATGTTTTCTATCTTTCGCTTATTTATTTTTACATAACGACGAAAAGATATTTTCTAGTAGATATTAAATATATAACATATAGATATTAGTATATAACAATAATTGCCTATTCACATTGCCTGATCTTCCATAAATTCGTTTTTGTATAAATAAATAACAGAAGAACATTTATAGATATTGAATAAAGAAATAAATAAATGATAAAATTTCCGTGCCTGTTTAGAAGATAGAAATAAAAAAAGCTTTTTTCTCTCTTATAATTCAACTTTAGATATCGTGACATTTCTGACAATGAAAAATCGATTGACAAAAGGAAGCTGCGGACCTGTGAGTGAGGAAAAGTGCGATAGTTCCGACACATATTGTACGTTTTCAGGTATAGATATCTGTAAAATCTGTAAACTTCGGATATACTCACTGTATTACTCTCTCTTATTTCCTCACTTCCTCACTTCTTTCAACAAAATGCGCGCGCAACTGAATCCCGGCGAAAGAATAAACAGCCGATATCGCGTTCACCCGGATTGGTATTTCACGCCTCTTCTCCGAAATACCTAGAGATATCGTGCTCGGCGAAACTAATTTAAGTGAAAAATGTTAGAAGATTGTTAGGAAAATTGACGAAGGCACTAAATTGGAACTAAAATAGAGATGTGACTATCTCAAAACGAATATAATGACGCCTGTTTTATAATACTGTTTAAAATTCACGATTGATTGATAGCTAAAGAAATAAAATTGTTTTATAAAAATTGTTTTTTTCTCACAAAATAGATGAAATAATATTATAAATTATAAATTACTTCATAAAAACGTTTAGCAATTTAATTTTTAATTTGCATCAACCTATTAGTAAAAAAGTGAAGTTTTATGGTTTTACGTATTCCAAATAACATTTATTAAATTAGATAATTAATGTAAGATAATAACTCTGACAATAGAATTTCGAGATATCATGCCATTGACAACATGATATCAAAATGATCGACCAAATTAATACAACCAAATTAATACAACCAAATTATATCAATCAAATTAATATAAATTGTTGACAAACATCGTTTCTGTTATTTCATAATTATTGAGACAATATTAGAAATTTAATTAAGTGTTCAACCTCTAGTTACACATAAAGTGAGGAGAATCATCAAGACCTATTGGAGTAACTGGACTTCAACCGGAAACATGGCTCGAAATTTGGCGGAAAATGGAAATACCTGAGATTCTTACACCCTTGATCAATAACAATTTCTAACGTTTTAGTAATGATGAATTTCTGACTTCGTACTATAGCATATCCCGTGAAATTATATCAATCATTAAAATTTTTATCTAACATTTTTATATATATTGATAATTTTGCACATTCCATTTTGTTATATTTTATACCATTTTATTAACTTTGAAGATTCGTGTATTGAAATCGGATTATGTTCGGTCGGATGGCAAGCCGATTCAAATGAATTCGAGATTTCAGAATCGCTTTTCGCAACTTCAATAGATATTACTGAATTCGAATGTACGTTCGGCAGCGATGACTAAATTAGACGATTCTATTGTGCAGGTTCAGCGGTAGCGATGATCGGAGCTAATCTGAGATTCGGCATCGGCGCTTCCGGGAATGTCACGTCCAACGCCACCAAGGTGTTCCAGTGTCATCCCGGCGGTGTGACCGAGGCCACCGTGATATTTAGCCTCGGTGCATTGGGGATGGGGGCGAATATCATCCTCATGACGTTGATACTGGCGAAGCGACAGCTGCGCAGGTACGAAGCGATAATAATCCACCGAAGAACGGCGCTTTATGACCCCCGTGCTTTGCACAGATTAATCCGGGAATAATGCCGGAAATTCTCTCGTTATGACACGTTCGATATACAAGATACAATCGGGCATTCTTACGGGCATATTGCGCGTGCAAAAATCACACGACCGTAAATTTCTTGCAAATAGCGAGAAAGGATATTTTGCAATATGAAAAACATATTTCACATTTTTATTTCGCATGCATGCTATTTCATCCACCTCGTGACGTTCGGCATGTTCGTTCAAGAGGGACACGTCGTCGCAATAAACGAAACAAATTTGCTTTATTGCGACGTCTCATACTTTCGAATAAAATTTATAAGCTAAGGGCAAGTTCAGCCTCGTATCGTACGTGAATTTATTTCAATCTCACGTAAGAGTATCCTGACTTGTTAAACTTTATTTCAGTACGTGAACAGGAAACTATATTGCAGCTTGATAACCGTCACGTGCTGTTTACCGAATAAAGTCTCGATGCTATATGCTTGCGTGTAAACAAAATATTGTCTGATCGATACTTGAAACATGTGACACTTGGCGCACGTGACAAATTGCGAAGTGTTCCCAAACGTGAGATGGAACTTTAGGAACATATTCTGTTATCGATTTAAAGTTGACTTCCCTTAACGAATAGGGGTATATCATTTAAGATTGCAAGTAAATGTATATCGTATGTGTATATTTTTCGCGAAAAAAAGTTAAAGATTAGATAGATGTACGTAAAATTTAATTATGAAACACATTAGAATGTTCCTAAAAAATTTGATGATTTAAAAAATGCCTTATTTGCATTCATACGAATTCTTTATTTCAAATACAATTTAACCGCAAACGAGAGATCTCGCCTATCTGTGCGGCAATGAAATTGAGTGTATCCTATAAGATACAGCAACAGCTCTTGGATCAGGGAGGTTTGGCGAAACGGAGAGAATAGCGAATGTGTTGACGTATATTTATCCCGGGATTCACAGGTGGTCCCAGGGACTGTTATTCCACCAAGCCATGGTGGATTGCGCGAGGGCTGCTATATTGTTGCCCCTAGGCTCCAGTATATTGAATTGTCAGCCCGTTAACAAGTGCTCCCTGGTAGAGACCGCCTTTCTGTTACTGGTGACCGTTTCCACGGTAAATATGCTAACGACCGTGCTAAACGACAGCCCGGTATTCCCAGAGAGCGAGGAGGAGGCCGATCTGACCGCTCCCTTGCTGATGGATTCACCCCAGGTAAGAATTATAGCGCGTATACCCCTAAAGCTAAACACGATCCGTACTTTCTGTTTACAATGCTTATTTCCGTAAGTTGCGCAAATATATAGCAAGATATAACCGAGAATGTTGGTTTATGCGTACGTAACTTTCAATCCCCGAATCTTAACAATTAAGTTTCAACTTATCTCTTAGCTCTCAGCACTCTTTCAATTCACGACTATTTGTAACTTTCAATCTCGTTAATCTTTTCAAGCCTCTCTGGAACCTACATTTGATATTACATCTCTACGCCATAGAATTTCTATGAGGATTCATTTAATCGAATAGACACTTACTTTGAATTTGTGTTAATTCAAATTAATCTAGCTCGGCTTGTTTATAACAGAATATTGAATCAGAATTGTGACGTATATAAACCGCGTGACTTTGGCTAACATAGACTGCGGTCGTTCATCTCTCATTTCTCTCTCCAAAATTTCTACCTAACCGCAGCATTGTGATAGCGAATTTAGCAATGAGTAATTGCGGTGCAAACCGTTCGCGTCATACCATAGACACGTCGAAACGAGAGCTGTCGGATTGAACCAGATTTTTCAAAGGAAAATTAATCGCGCCGTAGAAAAAACGTTAAACGCACAATCTGGATCAGACGTACGAAATCTTCTTAATAGATTATGATAAATCATGAAACGTTCATCGATGCTTAAAAAAGAAAAATTTTTTCAATCAATTTCGTAGCAGATTTTGACATCAAATTATAATTAACGCTTAAAACATATTTACCAATAAAGCAAAATAAAAAATAATGTTTTAAGTATCATACGGCTCGTTTAATTTTCTTAATATAAATTATTAAAAATGTTTCAAATTTTTATTCAATTTCTCACTCAATTTTGAACGAATTGTACTTCAATTCCATTCACTCACTTACGCAGCAATGCAATTTAATTAAGAATTTAAAAAGTTGCGACAAAGAATGCTTTGCCATTAAGTAAAAATTATCTTCAAATTCATGCCGCACCTCAAAATTCAATCTAGATCTTATGAGAAACTCTATATCATTATCGTACGACCCGAGACAGTAAATTAGCGCAATTAATTCCTTAACGACTTGGCTTCCCTGTGCGCATGTAGTAACAGTCATAGCTCCAAATTAATTTAACGCAATAACTTGTACGTCTACTGACACTCGACTCGCTTTAGCAACAGCAAGGATTCTAATGATGGTTAAACATATATGATGTCGTTAAACATATATGATGTCTATTATTAAAAATCTTTTGAAAGAAAATTGCAATTTCAATGTTACAAATGTTACATTCTAATAATTTCTATAATAATTCTAAATGTCACTTATATTATACATTCTACTCAGCCTCGATTTTAATTATTTTAAGATTTTTCATTTATATACATAGTTTATTAAAGCTTTTCATAAGTTAAATTTTTAACTTGCAAATGGATAAACTATACAATTTTAACTTTAAATAATTTAAAAGAATAGAATGAAATATATGAAATTTTATTAAACTGTAAAAACAATATATATAATTATTAAAAAGTAAAATGTGTTAAAAGTTAAAAAATGTGTAATAATTTTATTTAATATTTTTGTTAAAAAAAAAAAAAATTGTTAAATTCCTCGTATTTCCTTCGGATATTTAATATTTAAAAACTTAGCTCAATAACATAGTTTCTATCCTTTGCGACGACGGATCAATTGTGGATTACAGAATTGCATAGATGTGTCAGGATTTAGAGTTAAATGAAGACAATCGGATTAAATGAAGACAAAACGGATTATATCGTAAACTCGTTAGACTGTCCAATCACGATTCTAAACGAGACCATGTTTGATCGAATGAATATTTATGAAATCTTGTGAAGCCTGTGGATATCTGTTTTCTAAAAATTTACGATCACAATTTGTTATGATTGATGGTTTTCCGATATTTTCACTAATTTTGTTTTATGCTGTACAAATAAATGTATAATTACGTATAAACATCCTGATTTTGTAAGAAATCATCAAATTAAGCATTGTGTTTGATTTAAATTGTAAATTTAAATTTACCTTTATCTGTAGAATTTATTTATATAAATTGTCAGCGTTAATCAAATAATTAAATTGAAAGTTAACACTTCGAATTTACAAAGTTAAGAGATTATTTATCGAGGATTTTAATTTTAATTACATCTGAAAGACAGTTTGTTTTCTATGTACTAAAATAACTACCAAAGAAACCCCATATATATTTTTCTTATCTTAGAAAAAAGTATGAAAATATTATAATAATTTGTAAGAAAGGCATGCAAAAGGTAATGTCTGTTTCAAAATTGCTTCTGTATTTTTCAAATAAAGCTTAATTTTCTTTATATAAAAAAAACTTCGAAAACTCTTTAATTAAAAAACTTTTATTAAACCGCAAGCGCAATTCGTGAAATGTTATTAGTCAACGCAAGTAATGTCTTGTGTTCGAAAAACTTGGGAAGAACAAGAACGTGAAATTAATAAGATATTTTGAAAATAATCTTTCGCTGTTTGCAGTGTGTGCTCTTTGGCACCTTCATGATCTGGTTTGCCAGCATAACGATCAATCTGGGGCCGACATTCCTTAGCGGTGCCTTAGCGGCAAACACGGAGAGCGGCCACAATGCGCCTGGTTGTCCATTAGTACATGGCCCTTTTCGCCACTACATACTCAATGTTCTCTGGATTGTCATCAACATCATTTGCGTAGCACTCACGCTCTTTCATTTGAGAAAATTACATAGAGATCTGACAAAGGCTAACGTCGAAGCGGTAAGCGATAATATCAATTATATGTACAGCCAAAATGTATAAAACTATAGTTTCTCCCCAAAAATTGATAAAATATATGAATATAAAATATATATCAAGTTGGAATTCAAAATTCGATTAACAGCGTTTTCATAGCGTTTTCTCTCACAGGAAAAGAAATTTTGCTGTTTAAAAATTTTATCCACTTAAAAAAATATTACTCGTTTAAAATTAAATTTTTTCTATTATATATAATATATTTATGTAAAATACAATTATATGTTTTATATCCAGGTGCGAGTAGCTGGTCTCGTCACAACGCTCGTTAATGTAACGGGAGGACATCAGGGTGCAACGAATGCGCTTGCAACCGAGGATGGTGATACGAGAAATGGTACGACACCAAAAGTAAGTAATAATTTTTAACGCAGAGAGCTTATTTCTATATATATATATATATATATATATATAATAAATACAATTCGAAAATTATGAAAATTAATCTTAACAAAAATGATATTTTTATTTGATTATTTAAATAATAAATTAATGTTTTATTTTTAAAAATCGCGTTTTAAATATCACTGTTAATATTCGTGATACAAGGACGTAAATTCTTTTCGGATATGAACATTTCTCACGTGTGTCTCACTCACAAATGCAAGCGGCTTAGACATATATGCAAAGCGAGATGAAAATGAAAGAAGGAAGAGAGTGCCGTAAGGCATAAAAAGATCTAAAATTATTCAAAAACGACGTCTATCGACATTTCAGAGAACGGGTGCCATCGAGGAGCACCGGAAAATGAGGAACTACCTCAGGAGGATGGAACGTGAAGGTGTGCAGCGGGTGAAAATGTTCCTGGTCATAACAGCGGCGTACGTTATATTCTGGGGACCATTGTTTTTCGTTACTCTGGTACACCATCCCGTCATAGGAAATCCTACTGGCTATGAGGTAATTAGAATGTATAGAGTGCTGCGACGAGATAATGGGAAGTTTGTATCTGCGTTCGCGTTAATGCTACTTCTACGAAATTCAGACACTATCGTATTTATGTCCCCACAAATATAACTTCCGGCCATTACTTATCTCATTCGTAATTGCATTTGTGCACACTTGCGATATCAGTGCGAATATTAATAACTCTATGTATGAATGCTCGCCGCACGCTTGCAGATTAAATTTTGTCTCTATAAAAACGCCAGTTATATATGTCACGTTGTTTTATGTTGTTTTATTTATCCCGCGAGTGAAGTTTTCTTATTAATTTTAAAAGACACATTTACCAAAAATAATCGTCGGCAGTTTACATAAATAATCATTGTAAATATAAATGAGTACAGCTGACGTCATGCAAGTAGCGGTAGTCATGATCGAAATTAAAAAAGTCGAAGTTAATCGTCTGGCAGCGATATAAATCTATATATAAATAAATATAAGTCGCATCCTTTTTTATCCGTATTCACACATCCTTTCTTAATTATATAATTATAATTCATGACGCAGTATTTGCAACACATTCCGAGAGAGACACAACAAAGCTTGTCAAGCGAATTTAGTTTTCCGGTAACAATACAGAGTTCCGATCGGAACAAATGCGAAAACTTGGCGAGAAAACATGAAATCGCAACTTGCTCGACCGTGCCGATACAGAGTTGTACGTGAATCACTCGAGCGAATTCACAGCCACCGAGCAGAGTTCCTTCGAAGAGTTCTTTTCACGAGAATATAAATTTTCGAGAGAGAAAAGTCTCCATCGAAAAACTCGTCGAGTGATTCAAAGACATCACCGTGGCGGTTTTGCTGATGTATCGTCGTAGCAGATGCACGAAATAGTCGCATTTTATCTTCCCGATGTGCAATAAATCTACAGGTTTTTGACAAAACAAAAATCGCGATGATGAAAAGTGTAATTTAAAAAAGAAAGGCTATTCTTCTCATGATGCATATAAACTCCGACATTTTTCAATGTAAAAAAATTTTACCTATAGCATACGTGTTTTGCGTCGCATACGTTCTCTTAAATATAATCTTTTCTTAATTTAAAAGAATAGAAATTTTAATAGAATCAGAGCTGTATATATAAATAATCGAATTAATATCTTTTATTGATCTTGTATGTTGTTGAACTACTGATATCACTGTAATTTTATTTTCATGCTTTAAAAAAAAAAAATATTGCTTCCTTGAGCGATTTCTACTCTTTACTTTATTAAGTAACGCCACTGTGCAATTTTGGATTAGACTATAGATATATGACTATAGATTTATAGATTTATGCTTGCACCGTGCTACTGTACACCGCATCTAAATCACTGGATTCCGCGGTTTGTTGTATCAGGTGACCCTGCACATCGCGTACGTACACGCTTTCGTAAACCCGGTTCTGTTCCTCACCCTGCACCGGGGGCTGCGACAGGGGATGTCAGACGTGTGTTGTGGCTGCTGCGAGAGCATAGCACGGTGGATCCTCGGATCCGCCGCGACCAGCCCGATGCAGAATGTTCAGCTACCCCGATACGAGGCGCCGATGAACCTCCCCTCGCCGCCGGATCCGCCCCTAGCGGCGCCGGCTGCACCGCCGGGATGTAATCTTACTGATGTGGCGCTCTTAAAACCACCCCTGCCACCAACTGCCAAACACTTACTGATGGTACGACATTCGTCCGAATGATCACGAAAACTTATCGCAGTGTTCGCTTAATTGCTTAAAGATCGATCTTTAACGACTTGAAAAGTCGCCATCGCTTAAATATCACTTACAGTAATTATCTTTAACGTCTCTTCTTCTTTCAGTTTTTATAATTTTTGTCATGTAATGTATTTTATCCAAATAATACTAGATAGAAAATTATCAATTACAGGATGATTCTATCGTGATACCACCCGATCCTTGGAGTCTCACTTCAAGACCGAAGAGTACTTCTAGTCTTTACGAAGAAGAATTCTCTAGGAGACCGAGCCTCCTGTTACCACCACCGGCGGAATTAAACGATCTGCAAATGAGTCCGACGAGTAGTGACTTGCCTAGCGAATAAACAACTTTAATCAACATCGAACCAAAAAGCACAAAGTTAATCGATTACTATGTAAAAGTAATTGTAAAAAATGAAGAAAAAGAAATAGAATTTTCAGGAAAAAGTCCTCCCTAATCCCAAATCCTCTTCCGAAGCATTACTCCAATCAGATGTTACACATATATTGTCCATAAGCCGAAATCAAATAAGTCGAATACCCGCAAATACCCTAACATTTTTTAATAATGAGAATTAATATATTCAGTGAAAATATCACAACTACAATTATGTTTGGGAATATCCGTACATTTTACATTCATAGAATTTTTAAAGTAAAAATAAATAAAGATTAAATTTCATAAACGGTCAAGATAAAATTAAAGAATGAATTCGTTATAATTAAAATTATAAATTTAACTTCTATGGATATATTTTATGCGATATCAAAAAAGCAAGAATACATCAAGGTATTGTTAAAATTAATTATACAAATAATGCATCTTAAACTTTGTTAAGAAATGTAGTCATTGAGGACTTGATATGCACATTTACTTTTACAATACGTATATAAAATAGATTTAAAAACAATTAACAGACTGACTTTTTTCATAAAATTTGTATTTATGTATATATCAATTTACACAATTGTTACGTCCAAAATCGTCAGTTAAAACAATCTAAACATCATTGTTTTCATCTGAACAATAATATAATTGTCTTTCCATATAAATGGAAGATATGAATTCCATTTATCACATTCATAATTAAAATTCTTTCCGGCAATTCTTTGCAATTTTTATCGCAAAGCATAAATCAATTCATTCACGATATTTTAGAAAATATTATATTAAAAATTTTAGATTAAATTTAAATTATATTATAACCCAGTATATAAATAATTGGTAATTAAATAATAAAAAATTAAATTTATTTTAACTGTCGCTCATATGTAATTAGCAATGCAATTTAAATTTAAATTCTGGGTGATATATACGCTAAATATATGAAAGTACAATTATTTATCATTACATGCTATTTTAAAGCCCGAACTTTATCCGATATAAATCGAAATTAAATTTCCTTTTCTTCGCCGATATTTCACGTTGTGGTAAAACTTAAAAGAAAAAAAAAATGTAACAAATTGGAAAGGAAAAAAATATAGTCCATCGGGCATCATCTAAATGTATCTGTGATCGCTTATAAACGTCCTAGTCTTATTGTGTCGTTGTGCTGTCACTAATAGATGCTTAGAGAAAAAAATATATAATGTATATACACAAAGCGGTACACACACACACACACACACGCGATAACTTGGAGATACTAGATAATTTTACGTAATTCGCGATCTGCTTTTTCAACTATACAAAACAAAACGAATATCTGGCAAGGCAGAGAAGTACAACGCGAGAAGTAGAAAGTATTAACTAGCAGGAAAAGATTTATAATTCCTTCGTTTAAATAGTTCCAGTAAGTGCACTAATTAAATGTACATAATGATAAAATGCACAGTCTCACTGCGTGTTGACGAAAGTGGTTGTTGCGTGAACTTCTTCATCTATGGGGACTCAATCTTTTCGAAACAAAACAGCATATATATTGAATTACATATATATTTTCTACGCAACATTATAGAGATTGCACCCGTTGCAATCGCACGATGCATCAACATCCCGCCGACCTAATTGTGCGTTACACTTCAACATTTTTGTTTTATACAGATGAAAGAGATTAAGAAGAACGAGAATAAGAAGACAGAGAAATCAGTCATTTATTTTACAAATGACAAACTGAGCCAATAATTATGGCCAATATAAATGTAAATATGAACAATTGTCCCAGTTTCCTTGAAGTTCTCTACTAATTGTACCTTTGTTAATAATTGTCCGCAATTGTTAATTTGTCTCATATTTTAAATTCATAAATTTTACGTTATATTTAAGGCTAAAAAATATACGGAAAGCACTTGTATATCTCAAATATTGGAATATTTCATCACTTTCTTGTAAAAAAGACGAATAGTTCTGAAGTCACATTCCTCAAGAAATTATGATATTAATTAATACGATAACAGAGAACATATTAAAAAATTACAAATTTTTGAAATGTGAAAAATCAAGAAAAAAAGAGAAAGAGAGCAGAAGAGTTATAATATTAAGAACAATCAAAAGTCAGTTATTCGAATTTAAAATTGACAAATTTGTCACTTAATTTTTTAAAACAAGTAGATCATATTTCATAAGAATTACAAATACAACTTTTAATTACAAGAATATACAAGAATCTTGTTTAATTTTATATAAAAAATTGTAAAAGTTATTCATCAGAGTAAATCATATTATATCGTTGCAGTTAGCAAATCGGAATCGAAACAAATGATTTTCTAAAAATATAAATTAAGCACATTTCAATCAGAAGAAAGATATTTAAAATTTTTGAATGTGGAATCTGATAGAGCATAACATCTTTCTTAACATGTTTATATTATATAAATCTGATAAAAAATCAATATAAATTAAAATTGTGTTGAAATTTCATTCAAAATTATAAAAAAATATTCATTATTAACATAATTATGACATATGTGTATCAAAGTATATTAAAAATATTAGTATAGAAATTGTTTCTTATTGTATTGCAAAAAGCATATCAATGTAATATAAAGTATTATGTGTTTGAAAACGAGTGCAGCATAATATTATGTGGCGAGTATCAATCGTTTATTAAAATTATGTGTGATATCCTCGCTAATTTTCCTTCTTATTCATCGGAGATGTGAAAGCAGCGCGCAGAGAATACTGCTTAAATACAAGTCAATTAATTATACTACAAAATATTTTGTTTTTAGGTACATTTAATAAATGTTGAATGTAAATTATGTATGTTAATGTAAATTATTAAGAAGCGTGTAAAAAAGATAGAACAAGATCGAAATTTTTTATCGTAATTTTATAAATGCAATGCCAAAAAGACATAATCCATATCGATTAGTAGCAAGAAATTATAAGAAAGAACATTCAAAAAGATGTGTTAAAAGTACACAGATGTGTCAGAAATGTCGTTGTCTCTATTATGTATTTAATATGTGTGTTCGATATATTGCAAAACATTATTATAAAAATATATTACATTTACATTATATATATATATATAAAACACATTAATATATTTTATATTATATATTAATTAATGATGTTATTTTAATTTATTATGATAGTTTATTTATAATTATTTATTTTATTTCTAAATAGATCATATATAAAATGATAATAATATATAAATTGAGATCAATTTAAAATTTTTGTATTGTAAAATTTCTGTGTTTTCTTTTTTGTGTTTTAAGACATATTTAATGTGTGTGCATATAAAATATATATATTCAAAATTATGTTAATGCAACTTTTTCACATTCTTATATATCTGATTCCCTTTATTTTTTAATAGCAAATATTTTAAAATTGCTAAAATCGATTTTTTGAAATTTCTTGAAAGCTAAAACACTCGAACGAATTATTCTAAACAATTTCATCAGGTTTCAAAGTATATTATTAAGAACATTTTTAAGAGAACGGTGCCTAAAAAACCAAAACATCGCTGTAAATCGACAGCGAAGTATGCGAAATGACATACTAAATTATATGAATTATGCAAGCATAAATTTTATCCTTGCCAAAAGAGAAAGCATGCATTATACTTAATTAAATGTATATAAAATCCTGTTCACATATTTGAAATAAAGATATGTGTAATATATAATTATATATGTATTATATGTTCATCTTTTTATTAAATAAATAATAAAAGTGATATTGCGTATTTCAAACATTGATAATCAAACATTAACGTTAAAAAAATTTGTTTATTTCACGTTGTCACTTACCTGTTCGAAGCCACCTAATATCTCTGTCGTGTCCATTGCAGAATTCAGAGCAATCGACCTCAGCTTCTGACCTGTTAAAGCGGCGAGTAGACGAACCACGCTGCTTTTCCCGCAACCGGAACCACCAACCTTATATTAAATTAATCACAATATAATTAATTAATCAAAAACAGAATACTAATCAAAAGTATTCAACGATATAGTACATGAATAAACATACAAGTATTGACATCCAATTCATTTTAACACACTGCATTAGACTTTTCAACACTCTTTTCTGTTCTCTAAGCACCAACAAATTGAAGTCCTGATGCGCGCTGCAATTTTTCCGGCTTAGTGTCATGTCACCGATGAAAAGTTTGTCAGCTGTGATATGCATGGGCAGTTGAGTGGGCGGAAGCGGATATTCTTCGAGTGAAAACTTTCTTCATATATTTGATAAACCTGCAAAATAATAAAAATGTGGAAAACAGTATATATATATATATATATATATATATATATATATATATATATATATATTATATATATATATATATATATATATATATATATATGTCAAATCAATTTTATTATATATATATGTATATATATATAATAAAAATATAATTTGACATATTTTAATTTTATTCTAATAAGCATGAAAATAGATATTACAATATAATTGTCTTCTCCAGTATTTTTCAAAATTTTTATTGAATATCTTGATGAAAAGAACATAACTTTATAAGTGATTCACCTTTTGTCGATCTTCATTAGTTCTCATTCTGTTAACATAAATGAGCTCCATGCTGTCACCTGGATTAAAGTACTGTTTATCGCCGCAAAATTCGTTAGAAGCAGCTTCGATAATCGTTTCACACCAACGGGTAATATCTCGTAAATTCATCTCCCACGGAGACCCAGCATGTCCCCATACAATGCCTGCTTCCGACGCTAACTTGTTATTGTACTGTACCATGTTATTGATCAATTCCATAGGAAGTTGTGGAAATTGTACACTGAGTATAAACTTCAAGTCATCCTTCATTAATGCATCTATAGAAACCTACAACAAATTTTGGATTGTATAAATTTTGTATAAATTGTATTATTTTTATAGCATTATATTATCATATATTCGTAATATACCTGAGTAAATCTATTTAGAAAAGATCTCGGTAAACCTCGTCTGGCTCCACCTTGTCGTAAAGGATTTTGACAACCGAACAATCTAGTACCAGGTTTGACCGAAAATGTTTTTCCCAATTCAGGAATGTATATTTCTCCCCTGTGATCAAAGCATGCGTTAAGGCCTTCTAAAACTGATTGTGATGCTAAATTTAATTCATCGAGCAAGATCCAATATCCGGCTCGCAAAGCTCGCAAAAATGGACCGTCCCGCCAGCCAAATTCACCTCCTTTTCCACCTTCTACAGGCAGATCAGCACCGAACAAATCGGATATGTCCTGTAATTACAATAGAGATGTCATTTTATTTTAATTTGATAAAATAAGTTTGAGAACGAACGATAAAAAAAAACTTATACGCTGTTTTATGGTATATACCGTTTGATCGCTTAAATTGATTCTAAGCAAAGTATGTCCTGCGGCTTTAGCCAGTGCAGACACTAAACTAGTTTTTCCTACACCTGGGCTTCCTTCCAAAAGAATCGGTTTGTTTAATTGCAATGCTCTTAGCAGCTTTAACGTATTCAGTTTTGTAGTAGAAGTTGTAAATGTAAATGTGTAGTCTTTGCAAGAGATTGAACCTTTTTTAATGTAAAATGGTGGTATTCCAAATATATCTGAAGTATCTACAACATTTTCGTTTACCACAGAAGTTACTGTATTAAGATCAAATTTCATTACATTTTTAATTTCCAATTTGATAAATTGAAGAGCAATTTCTGTAAAAGCTTTCAATTTGCTGACACTGAAAATAAATAACAATTAATTAATGAGCATTACATCGTTCATTGTAGTAAAATAAGTGAATAATCATATTAAAGTTAATTTTATCAAAAAAATTTATTAAATATTATTAGGTTTAGAAAATTAAAACTTAGATTTTTATAAAATTAAAATATTAGAACCTAAAAAGATAAAATAAAAAAAAAGAACGCATGATAGAGAAATATTGTGTTAATAATATTTTACCTCTCTGAACCTGTGGAGCCAGATCCAAGACTATCAAGGTACGTAAGACAAGCACCGTGATAATATGCCTCTCCAATCGTCAATTTTGATAACAGAGTACCACTAGTGCACACATTTATAAAATCGACCCAAGTAAGTATATCTCGAATGCTCACAGTAAGTTTCTTGCCTACTTCGGTGGTTTGTAACCATTCGATGAATTTCAATATTGCAGTAGCGATGGACTCCTTCCTTGTTTGCGAATCGATGCGAAGATTATGTATTATTATATCGTGCAAATCATTTCTAGCTGAACATCCCTCGCACCACACTTCGGTGAAACGATTTCGCAAGGCTGGCGAAAGCTCCTTCTTGCCATAATCACCGCCAGGATTCATCGTGCCGATGAATATAAATTTCTCATCCGCCACGATCACAGTATTCTCTTCTCCGTACGAAGACTCTATTCCTTTTTCAGTCAATAAAAGACTACGATCTGGTTCTGTAAAAGATTAAAAATAAGCTTCTATAGTAAAATAAATAAATTAAATTCTTGTAGATGTCATTTTCTATTAGTTATATTTTTAGATATATAATTAATAAATATATAAGTAATATTTTTTGATAGAATAGAATCTATGTTGTATTTCACACTTTATTCTTACCCAAAAGTGAATTTAGTCGTTCCAATACGCTGTCATCAGCCAACGAAATTTCGTCGGCCAAGAACAGATCGCCGTTACGCATTGCGTTTATCAGAGGCCCGTCTAACCACTCAAAAAGCTTTTGATCATCTTCCGAATGTTCTCTGATAGGTCGTAAATTACCCAAAAAATCTGACGACTCCGTATGCATGTGACAGTTCATGCTATACATTGTTTGACCGTTAATAGCTGCTATCAATTGGCAGATTGTTGTCTTGCCCCCACCAGTTTCTCCGACCAACAACACCGGTTCCTTAAATTGGCAAGATTTCTTCACAAGAACTGCCATTCGACGCATGTGATAAGTCCAAACAATATGATTAAAATTAGGGATAACATTTTTAAGAATGTCTTCCAATAAATGCTTTGTTACTGGCGAAGTCTTATCATTCAATGTAAACAAATTATAAGGATCTACATCTCTCTTTAGATGTTTTTTTATAACAGATCTTATTTCATCCGCTTCTTCCGCTTTGCGGACTTTAGCCGCGAGAACAAGATAACCTTCGTCCGCTAGATGTTGACTCCAATCGTACAGTTTGTTACCTACGTCGGGAGCTAATCTATATCTCTCGCCCCAACGAAACAGATCTCGCAAAGTTATAAATCCTTTTTTACCAGCAAAAGTAGCTGTACTCTTACGCCTTATCTGGAGATCCGTCATTACGTTAATCATTTGTTTGCTATATGATTCTGGCAGACTGCATCTTTGACTGAGTATTATCTGTAATTCGTTTGGCGGTATTTCGTCGAAATGCAATTCAACAAATCTATTTCTGAACGCTCGTGACAGAACTTTTCGGCCGCCGTAGAGTCCAGGAGGATTTTGCGTTGCAAATAGCATGAAATGTTCGTGTGCTTTTACTACCTGTTGTGTTTCAAGTATAAACAATTCTCTGTTGTCATCGAGGACTCGATTCAGAGCTTCCAGAACATCACTCGGCGCTAAATTTAACTCGTCCAAAATGATCCAATATCCTTTACGCATTGCATCAACTAGAACACCTTCCTTGAATACTAGGTTTCCCTTTTCGTCCGCGACATAACTTCCGACATATTCTTGTAGATCCGTATGCTCATGATTGTTTATGCGGACACAAACATGTCCTGTGATTTTCGCTAGATACATAATCAAACTCGTCTTGCCTACTGATGTGTCACCTTGTAATAAAACTGGAATTTTTCCGATCGATACTACTCTTACTAAATCTTTCAAGTTTCTTTTAACAGAATCAGTCAATATGTAATTGTTAGGTGTTTCAGGTGTTAAACTTCCTTGCAAGATCCAATATCCTTCAATGTTTATGTATTCTTCTGCAAAACTATTCTTCGGTTTCGGTATAGGATGGCAAAGAATTGCTTTGATGTTTTTATTATCTAAGATAGCTTTTACGATCATTCTCTGTACGATTGGGTACGATTTATAATCCAGCTGTGTCAAAAAACTCAAAGAGAAGGCTTCATATAGAGATCTCAGAATATTGCCACAGGGAACTGACGCAGAAATGTATAATGCGCGACACAACGTTCTCAAACTGTAATGCGGCTTGTGCGCTGTACCATCAAATAACGTGTTCATAGCTTCCTTTTTCACGTTCCGATAAAATTTTACGATCGCTTCATGTTTTTCTGGTGGAAGATTTAGCTTCTCCAGATAGGATCTTACAAGCAAAAGAAGATCTGATTGCTCAGTCAACTCGTCAATGTAAAACTCAGTAAATCTGTTCCTCAAACCAACTGGTAGATCTCTCTTGCCAACATCCGTAGCCGGATTCATACACGCGAACACAGCGAAGTCGGGATGTCTTTTCACAGGTTCTCCGTCACCACGCTCTAGTAACGGCAACGATTCCGAAGAATTTTCCAATAAACCAGAAAGACATTCTAATGTATCGGCATTCGCCAAATTAATCTCATCTAAGAGAACCCAATAACCATTTCGCAAAGCCTTGACTAAACTCCCTTCTATAAAGGAGAATGCCAGCGCATATTGGCTTATCACTTGAAGTCTTAATTTCTCTAATTTCTCCATTATTTCTTCCCATTCTTTCAGCATATCTATCGTTTTTAAATATTTTTCATTTTTTTCTTGCATACATGTCTTTTTCTTGCATGCATGCATTGTCTTTAAGCTTCTTTTTCAAATTCTTTATAGCAGCATCCGCAGAACAGTCCATCATAGCAACAACAGCCTTCCATTCCTTTTGTTCATAGTACTCAGCTAAGTGTTCAAGGAACTCTTTATTCGGTTCGAATAGAAAATGAGAGTGGAACAAGATTTCAAACTCCCTTCGGATGGGCGATATCAGGAACTTCAGATCGATCGGTTTATAACCACCTAATAAGTCCGCGCTCTCGCTCTGTTGATTCATATTTATGATTATCAATTTGTGACCAGTATTTCTCGCCAAATATTGTATTGCACTTGTTTTTCCAGTTCCCGTCTCACCGACTAGTAGCACAGGCTCTTTTTGCATGACGCAAGTAGCTATACGTTCCAACAAACACGCAGAAGGTCTTGTAAAGGAGAAGTTGATCTTTTTTACATTTATTTTTATTGTTGCGTATTGTTCTTTTTTACGAATCAACTCCACTCTGCCTGCTCTCAGAAACTCGGGAAGCGGTTTTATGATTGGTTTGTACACGTTGCAAAAGTAATCTGCTTTCATATGTACAATGCCAAGTTTGTGAGCTACCGCTTTCGCCAAATTTAATCGTTGTTCTATAAAAAAAGATATAATATTTATTTGAAACCATTTTAAATATTATGAAAAAAAACAAAAATTAAAATTAAATACAAACATATCAATAAATATAACGATATATACTTTATGTAATATTAAACATTTAAATAAATTAAGAAAAATCTACCTTGATTAGGTACCGAATAACAGAAGATATCTAAAGCATCCTGAAATATTTTTATTGCAGAATCTGACGATGAAACATCAAAATTAATGACAGCTCTGGAGCACCATTTTATTAAATCTCGCGTCGACGTCTGTCGTCCGATTTTCAGTGATAATATAGTATCATTTTCGTTACTTTTACTATCATGATTACCTACTGAAAACAACAGGAATACATTTACTATTTTAGTAGCAATGGTGCTCAATACTGGGAATAATGTTTGAACAACAGTGATTAATTCGTTTCTAGACAAAGGTTCCACATTTAGACACAGCCAATGTTTTTGTAATAAACTCGAGGATCCCGTGAAAGGTTTTTGAATTCCTGTAGTGGACATCATCAATCGCTGAGTAACAAACAACTGGAATCCACTGTTGACATAAATAGTATCGCGATAACCAGGTACACAGAGTGTTCCAGTTTCCATCAGATTGCTCAAGACACTAGCTATATCAAGGGCAGCGCTGTCTATATCTTCCAAAAGAAGCCATTTGCCGGCAACAACCGCTTGTGTGAGAACACCCGGTTGCCAAACAAATTCACCAGGTATATCAGTACACCTATACATTCCCAGCAACATCTTCGAGTCAGTCTGATCGCCTAATTGTACTTTAATGAAATTTGATGTATCGTGTCCAGTGATTCTCGCCAAATACTCTACCAAAGCTGTTTTACCACTACCGACTGGCCCTTGCAAGCAAATACATTTTCTAGAGCCAACAGCTATGGCTAAACTTTGTAAATTTTTCTTCGTGGAAGAAACTGGAACTAAATTATAAGTGCTTTGATTTCTGCCGAGAGTGGGCAATAAAATACCATCGACAGATACAACAGACAAGATATTTTTTACTATATCTTCCATTGACTCAAAGCTGGCACAAGCAATGCTAGTATTAGTGTCTTTGTCTTCACAATCAATTAAAAAGTTTTCAAAATTTGGAATTAATGCTTGCGCACATGACAGCCTTGTTGATTCAGACATATTCAAAACTATTGCAATACATTTTAAAGCCATCCTAAAATCAAATTAACAAATTATTTTTTCAAATAAATGAATTATTAATTAAAAAATCATCCTATACTTAATTTTATAATAATAATAATTATTATTAAATTCTTTTGCAATGGACTTACCATTTCACTCTGTCATCAGTACTCGTTAGATACTTATAAAATTTAGACCAATTCCATTTATGCTTAAAATGATTCACAGCAGACTGCAAGATATTATGACATGCAATAACAATATCATATTCAGATACTTCTGAGATATATGAAAATTTTCTTGTATTCCGTTTTTTCATAGGTGTAACTTCATCAAGCGAGTCAAAATGTTCAAATGGAGCTGGATTAACATCAAAATAGTGTAAAATAAATCTAAAACAAAAAAGTATTCTATAAGTATTAAATCTATAAACAAAAATAAAACAAAACAAAACAAAACAAAATAAACAATATCAATGTTCAACATTTAACTTTTAAATTTGAGAGTAACTGATATTTATAACAGTTATATGTTATAGTTAGAAGATATTTATAACAGTTATAACATTTAAATACTTTATACTATATTTAATATACATCTATCTTACATTCATAGCCAAATAAATTCAATTAAAAGAAAAATTAAAATTATTGTGTATTAATCTTTCATAAATTATTAGAAATAAATACATACACTAGTAAATCTTGATTAATAATAAGCAGTTTTCCTAGTATAACACAATTCAATCTATGAATAATATCCTTATCAGCCAACACTGCTGATCGTAAATCATTTGAAAGTATTGCTAGAGAAATAAGCGCTGGTAATAATTCTGGAAAACATTCTGCAACATCTTTCGTGCACTGTGGTTGCATAAAAAATTCACATAATATTTCCAAAATTTTGTCATATTCAAGTTTACTAAATTCCTGTAAACAAAAAGTTATATTTACATTTATTTTAAACAAAATTTTCTATAACAATCAGATGGCAATAATTGGCAGACAGGGTCTTTAACGTTCATCATGAAATTGTATCGAGAATAACTCGAATAAAATTGTTACTCAATCCGGTATTAATTATTAATTATTTATCGATCTTTCTTTCTCTCTTTTCTCAAACAGGCGATCATCGAATCACCCCTTCTGCCAAATAATTATTGAGCAGCCGTGCGTTTTGTCGCCGCGTACCACGCTCCGACTCGCATACGTGAACAGTTACAGTATTGTGTTATCGTGGCACGTGCCTAGCGCCCAAACGAACTTGAATTCATAATTCGCGGATTGAAGGAAATATCGCCGTAGTGTGCCGATTATCTGACGAACCGGCGAGGGCAAGGGGTGCGACGGATTTGGGCCGCGCGGTCGCCGATCGCGAGACCTCTCTCATTCGAGAGTGGAGTTGATAGATTAATATAATATATAATAAGCATAATAGTTCATAATTTTAAAATAGCGATACTTACTTTCAATAGCGAGAATTTTTGTTTATATTTTTCATTTCGTGCACAGAAAATTGATAAATTTTCAGTAAACATCTTGCACAATTTTTTCAGAAAGTCAAAGCTAAATAAAATTAAGAACAGTACACAATTATAAATATGTAGAAATCAAAAAAAATTGGAACAGGTTATGATTAACGAAAAACACGTGGTTTTATCAAACCTGCAGATGCACGCACCCGTCGACCGTACAGTGAGCAGAATGATGATACAAAAGAAATACAGGCCCTTTTAAGTCGTTTTGTGCGCATGCGCATTAACTTATCATCAAAAGACTATATCAAATTAGTGTCGGTCCACAATAAGTATTTAATCTTTAAGCCGTAAGAAATTGACTAATCATCAAGAAATTGACATCATCACTAATCAGTCGATTATTCTTTTCATATTCGATTATAATTGATCAATTTCTTATGTCTTAAAGTTTAAATCATCTATTGTGGACTGACATCTAATGATTGCCCGACTACGGTTATCGGTTGATGAGTTTGATATTACCAATCACATTAACCGTAAGCAGGACCTGCTACATTGTGATTGGCTGAAATAGAATCGTCAACTGGCAATCGTAGATGCGCAACCGTTAATCTGATATAGCCTTAAGGTTGGTTGCATACAGGACGCGGCAACGCGGTAGCCAATTACCGTCTTGTTTCTGATATATAATTTCGGCTAGGGTGATACCTGTTTGATCACGTCCCACAGGGGCCAGCATCTAGAATTTTTCCACTGTTCAAGCACTGTGAGTGGCTAGTGGTCAATCGGGACGCGGTCAAACGGGTGTCACCCCTTCGGCTACGGTCAATGTAACTACAAATGCCTAGAAGCGTTTGATTGTCCAATTGTCAAAACAAAGAATTTTACTAATGCACCAATCAAAAAATGCTTCAAAGCATTTGTAGTAAGCCCTTGATCGTCGCCCTTCATTACATATCAGAAAACAAGACGGTGATTGGCTACCGTGTTGCCGTATTGCCGCGTCGTGTATGTAATCAGCCTAAAGCCAGAGACATACGATGCTTTTTTTCTTGTTAGTTTCTTAGCTAAAGCTTGTGTACTTTTTGAGTTTCTTATCTTTGATTAATATATTTTTTACATTTAAAAGAATATATCAATTAAAGACAAGAACTCAGCAAACATGCAAATCCAGCTAGCAAACCAGTAGGAAAAAAAAACATAGTGTGCCACTGGTTTTAAGCATAAAACGTAAGAACATTGACGAATCACAGACGATTATTCGAAGTTAGAAGAGAATTGAAGTGTGAGATTGGCTCTTAATCTTAAATATCTTGAATTTATTTCAAATTTGTTTTTATTATTGCAAAAAGCTATCAGAATTATAGATTCTTTTTAATTTCAGAACCATTAAAGAAAAATAAGTTTTATGGTTGTACTATTAAAGATGACTCAAATTTGAGTCGAAATGTTGGAACTTTTATTAATAAACTAAGTTTAAATTAAAAATGTAATTGCACACCGTTTACAGCGCCGATTCTCAATTGCCCTATTGTTTCTTGTTCACATATCTATTCATACCTTCATTATATAACCATAAACATAAAATTTTTCTTTTCTAATAAAATAAAATAATAATTATTATCTATCGTTAGTTATTATTAGTAATCGGTAAACATATTATCTTTTGTGTTCAAAACTTTTGTATTAAGGGTATTAGTTGAATCTTAAAAGTTTTTGTAATATACAAAGGAAACTTATACAATATATAATTAAAGTGATTGTATATAAAAGTATTATCAAATAAATATTCCAAGAATTCTTTATTGATAATCCAAAGTCAAAAACTCAATAAATCCGCATGTGTCTTGAACTCTTCTTGAATTCTTTTTTCAATTGATGGCAATGTCAGGTTGTCTGCAGTTATATTAAAACTAACATATATCGGTTTTCCAAACTTCATGCTTAATCTCTTAGCCATATTTGTAGATGTAGTATCTGCTACAGCACCCATAAGCTTGGTTGTAATAGGTTGTTTTTCAAAGTTTGATATAAGAGCAAAGGCCAAGTCTTCCATGCTGGGATTAGAGGAATCTCCAATCCACAGATATAAGCAATCTTCCATCTTTATTATTTGGCAATTAATGTTAATATCACTGATTTTGGCAACAAAGTTGTGAAACTTGAAGCTGCATGGTAGTAATTCCACTGTCGATTCTTTTTCTGTTGTCATTCTTTGTTTTGATTTTTTATCTAACCTAGAAATAATTATATAATTCTAAGGAAACTTAATGAAAAATAAAAAAGAAAGATACATATAAATTCATCAAAACATATTGATACATTAATATGTTAAATCTATGTATAAATTATATATATATATATATATATATATATATATATATATATATATATATATATATATATATATATATATATATATATATATAATACTTTTTAGACATTAATATTCGAAGCTAAAGACATTTTTAATTCATAAGAAAATATATATATTACAGAAAAACATATTGCATGAATAAAAGTTGCTGATTCTTATTGGTCTTGTCTTCTACTTCTATCAATTAACATTCTTTTTGTAAAATTTGCTTTAATTGGTTCTTTAAACTTTTATAATCATACTTCTTTAAAGAATGAAAATCATGAATCCTGATATAAATCCAAACGGAATGTTAAGTAGAGATAATAACAAGATAAATAACTTAATCAATTACTTTGCATTTCAAGTAATTGAAGTATAAGAAATTTGGCTATCTCTCAAGTTGAACAGCTAATTGAAGTCACTGAATTTGAGTAGTGCAATTTTTATTCCACATATGATACTCTATATATGGTATTGTATTCCTCTGATCGTGATAGGCAATCGTGCTTCCTAAAATATAAGATTTAAGTAATAATTGCTAATAATTAGTCTATAGCATTATATATCTATCATAAATGATACCTATAATAAATAATCCGTTTTCCAGAAGCTTATCGAATCCTGTTATTTTTGAAACCTGAATTGCATGTATTTTTTTTTTTTACAATTTAACCTAACCTAACCCAACTTGTATGTGATAGTAATGAGAAATCCATAAATTGAAATGTCTAATAAATTTCCTGCTTATTTCTTCATTTCCTATTTTTTTTTCGCTTTGAGTCTAACAGTATTCGTTGTTACAACAAAATACACATGATACGATTGAAGCCTAACAGCGGTTATAACATTTGCCCGTACATCGCACTACGCATGTGCGAACATCTCCCACTATTATTCAGGCTGCGTTCCGATATTCACTGCCAGTACTGAAAATCTATAATATACGTGACGTGATATATTTTCAGTACTGGCAGTGAATATCAGAACGTAGCCTCAGTTTCGTTCACTTCCGTCTTCCGTCCGGCATCACCGATCATCGAGTTGCGAGTATTGCACGTGGTAATAGGGTTAGTGTCGTTATTTTGACTGATTGAAGAAACATGAAAATAAAAAAAGAGAACACAACGTCCAAAAAGTCGATCAAGAACATTGTTAAGAACAAACAGACGATTTTGAAGCCAAGAGCAAGAGTTAATCTCGACAAAGCTGTGAAAAATGTCAAGAATATTTTGAAGGTATTTTAGCATAATTTTCAGAAAGTATTTTTTTGTTTACTTTAGCTTTGCGATATTTTGTTTTAATAAAATTATTTTGTTATATATTTATAATGATGTTAATCTGTTGTTAATCTTAAAGAACTCACGTCGAATTGATCCGAACAAATTTTTAACTTTATATTTTAAAGCGTTTTATTGAAATTTTTATAATACAAAAAATGTCTAATTTAATATGTGTTTGTCGATTAACTTTACGAAATCTCGAAAATTTTCGAATTTGAAATCATTGATGAAATCAAGCATGAAGCGAATATAAGCATAACATAAATATGAGTTCTTGAGAGTTGATGTCATATGACTTAACTAATAATTGTATTGCATTATAATAATTTTTGTTGCTTTCTAAGTTAATACAGTTACATTAAATAAAATTCTAAATGTGAATTTAAATTATTCGAATAGCAAACACCCATGTAGCAACAATTGTTTTTTTCTAGGAAAAGAGATCGCAAGCTGAAGTAACTGAGAAGAAAGAAGTAAATTTAAGAAAACCTAGAGTTAAACAATTCAAAGCACAAAAATCAGAGAATAAAGGAATAGTCTATGTAGGACACATACCACATGGATTTTATGAAGAACAAATGAAAGATTACTTTCAGCAATTTGGAAAAGTACTGCGAGTACGAGTGGCAAGGTCCCAAAAGGTATTTATATATTTAGATGGATAATAATTTATTTTACGATTACACTATTTTATAAAATACTTATTTAAAATACTTAATTGCATTTATAGACTGGGAGAAGTCGTGGCTATGGCTATGTCGAATTTGCCTACCCAGAGGTTGCAAAAATTGCAGCAGATACTATGAATAATTATTTGATGTGCGGCCGATTATTAAAAGGTATTGCTTAGTCTAAAGTTAATATTGCTAATTTTCTTTCCTTTTTTATTAACATACATATGTTTTTCAGTTACATATATTCCACCCGAAAAACAGCACTTTGGATTTTTCTCAGGCGCAAATTGGTCAGAAGACGAGTATCCTAAACTCAAAAATAGAAGAAAAGCAACATTAGGTAGAAACCGTCTTCAAAGCGCCGAGAATCATAAAAAGTATGTTAAAAGATCGCTTCGTAAACTTTCTACACTAGAAAGTAAACTTAAAGAGAAAGGGATTAGTATTAAATTTCAACCTATTGATGTACCAGAAACATAATAAACGTTTAAAGATGCAACTTAATTTTGTTTTATTTCTACTTATTTTATAATTGATTATTTTTAGATAAAGATTTATGTAAGTGTCGATCCACAATAGGCGATTTAAGTTTTAAGAAATAAGAAATTGACCGATCATAATCGAATATGAAAAGAATAATCGACTATGATTGGTCAATTTCTTACAGCTTAAAGCTTAAATATCTATTGTGGACCGAGATTTACATAACATAAAAGATTTTCTCTCTTCTCTCTCCTCCCCTTCTCTCTATGTTGAAATAAAATTTCTCTCTAAAACACTCACTTTTACAATTTATACCTAAATCTATACCTAAATTGTTATGTTGTTATGTACAATTATAAATTTAAATACATGTTGAATAACGATCTCAAATTATGATACAATAGTTGTTTCTTGTACATTTGTCGTACTTCCTTTCGTTCGTTTCCATTTCATACGTCTATTTTGAAACCACACTTTTACCTGTAAAGTAAATTATTTAATAAAAAAAGGATATAAACATATTTAACATATAATTGTTTATAATCTACCTGACGTTCCGTTAAATCCAATGCTACAGCAATCTCATAGCGACGCAATCGTGTCAAATAATTACTGTGAGCAAATTCACATTCAAGATGTCGGACCTGTTGCTTCGTAAATGCAGTTCTTTCTTTCCGCGGCTTGTCGCTTGTCCTTTTTGTCGTTTCTGTAATTAATAGGATAATGAAGAATTAAAGCATTTTATTTTAGATTAGCAAAATTCTCGAATTTTATATGTGAAATTATATCTTATTTTTTATTGAAAAAATATTTTTACATCGATTTTTTAATTTTAATTGATCATACTTTATCAATTCTCTAATGTTTTTATGAAAACCTTAAATATAATTATAGATTTATAAGTTACATAAATGAAATACCAAACACACACACACACACACACAAACACACACACACACACACACACACACACACACACACATATATATGTTTAGAAAGTTATACCATATGTGATGGTAATGGATGATGATGATAATGGAGAATTTATAATATAATTTTTAGTAAATAATTCAAAAACGACACACCATTTTGTTTCTGAATTATATATTTTTTAAACTAAACTAAAAATAAAATTTTCAAAATATAAGTACAAAATAAAAAACGTCTTTCAGATGCTTTGAATAATACAACAATTTTTATAATACTGTTTTAAATTTTGGAATTAATTTTTTTATAAATAAAAATGAACACAAAGAAATTAAAAAAACATTATTTCATATTTCATATTTGAAAAATTTGTCTTTAGCTAATTTTATATACAAACAAGTCACAAAAAATATATGAATTATGAACTTTTGCTTCTTTTATTATCTAAGCTCCTCATATTTTTGTTAGAATTAATGAAGTGCAGTGTTTTTAACAAACATGTAACAAAGATGTATCTCTTCAGGAAACTTATATTAATACCGGCGACTTTCTTCTATAAAGAGGTATGGAATGCAATTAGAGAAAAATGAATTTTTGTCGACACCAAAGAGCACCCTCTTTAAATAGTGTCTTGATTTAGATGCGAGTTTTCGCCTCTCCCCGTACATTAAGAGAATGGTCCAGTTTCATCCCGGATGGTGACATAACGTATTCATCATCCGGCTCGATCTTCTTGCCGCGTAGTTTTTCGCGGCAAGATTTCACGGCTCGTCGGCGACTTTTTGTCGCCAGCCTCAGATGAAAATAGCCGCGCATACGATGCGTCAGTGCACGTTGCACCGAGGCACCCGTTTTGCGGCTTGCGAAACGCTGGAAGTGCGTTCTTTACCGCTATGCGACACGTGGCTGCCGAGAGAACGAGAATTTCTCTTTCTCTCTTTCGTTCTCTCCAGGCCCTTAACTTTGCTTCCGTGCCGCTATCTTGGCTCTAATTGCTACAACTGACGTCAATCGCGAAATCTCTCGTAGTCTACGAGAGCGATCCGCATCAATATCGAAAGTAACACGAGAGTAACATCAAAAGGAGCAGCTAAAAAGCTACATTTTATATCATCAATTTATAAACTTTGGATAACTTGATATACATTGATGTACTTGTATAATAAAAGTATAGTTATCATAAATCAAAGTGTTTTAATTATTATCGTATTTGAAGATACAGCCGTTAAAATATCCAAAATAAATAGATAAAAGAATATTAAATTATAAAATTATGTCTATTAATATACAAATTGAAGATATTTAAAATAAGGCTAATGGATTTTATTAAATTTTAATTTTAACAATTTTGTGATATCGACTTGTGTTTCTATTATTTATAACACTTTTTTAATTAAATTTTTAATATTTAATTATATATATATATAAAATAATGTCTATTGAAACACTTCTCTAAGGGCAAAAGAATATTCTAATTTTAATTTTAGTTGAAAAATGATTTTTTTATCTATTCTATTTAATTTATTTTTATATAAACAACATTTTGAAAGATTATTTAATAAGTTTAATAATAGACACAATGCATATTGATGAAAAATATCAGTGTAAAAGTGAAAGATTTATAACGTTTATTACGCAAGATGTGTATCAGCTCGATGCAGTTAGACATTCGATAAACATTTAGATTGTACTGGGCCTGTTATGGCCGCATTGGCGACACTAAAGACATAAAACTTACAACTGTATTGTCAACGATTTACGTTGGAAATCTGTCGAAGTTGTGCGATGCGAAATGTTTCAAGCTAATTCATTACATACAACTACATATGCAAGTTATTGAAATTTGTAACAACTTAATTAATTTGGCAACAATTGAAATGGCATTTAAATAAATATCCAACGTTTTGTAGTAAACTTCTTTACTTGAATGTTAAATAATATTTAATATTCAGGAAAAGAACAAAACTTTTCATATAGTTTTAGATCAATATTTATTTGATAAAAGGTGAGTTTATTTGTCGGGTTATTAATGAAGAAATAAATATTACCTCGTTCTCGATGTGGTCGTGTATTTTCTCTCAAGAATGAATTCGCGTAGTTCTCATTATATTGCGAATGCTGCAAGGAGTGATACTTATTCTCGTGCTCGCGATCCATAATCGTATTCTGCAAATGAGGCATTTCCCAAGCGCGAAACATTGTCCCCGTGTTTGATGAAGTTATTATACGACGATCTTGATTATTCTCATATAATGAATTTTCAGGTTTGCTCAAAGATTTTTCATCTTCCTTTCCATTCAACTGCTCGATTATTGGATGACAATCTGCAGCATTTTGCTGGGAATATTGCTCCCATCTTATGAAAATGAAACTTTATGATTATAAAACGTAATTATGAAAACGTATAAAAAAAGAATACAAAAGTCATTTCATTTATCATTTTAATTTATTCATTTATTATCAAATTATAAATAGAAATTTTAATATATAAAGCAATATATGTTATGTTGAAAGTCGTTAGTAATATTTGCTTTTTATAGATATTCCTAAATAAATATTTTAGAATGTAAGATAAAATAACATTTTTATAATTTTATAACAATAACATTAATATATGTTTCTCAGTACACTACTTTGCTTAAAGTATGTTTCACTTTTGTTTTTAAATTTGTTATTTTTTTCTTGCTTTTATATTTCTTATTTTATTTAAATAAAATATTTAAATATTAAATTAATATGGCGACAAAAAAATATATCGATATCCAATTTTTCTCCAATTATTAGAATTATTAGAATTTTATAATCATGAATCTTCTTATTGTCCATTAGTCTATATTCATACATATACGTGTATACTTATTAGAATCTTACCTGCACGTGCGATAATTTTGATTACTGTCGGCGCTTTGAAAAAAATTCACGATGTAAGGCGATGGAATTAAACAAGCGGCTTCATCAGTCGTAATATCGTACTCATTGCAAGAATTCGTTGGGTTGCTCCAAGAGCACTTGTGATACCATGATGTCTCGCAACCTGTTGCTGATCTCGCGTTCTGCCCTTCCATATGCAGAGATGATGGTGTCGGTGGTGTCGGTGGTAATTCAAAATGATCTGATATCCGATGATTGTTCGCAATTGTGTCTTTTGACCACGACATAGTAACAAATCAAAGTCCTAACAGTTTTAACAATTTTCGATAGTCAATTTGCGAATTTTTTATACGATTTCTTTTTGCAAATTGATAGAATAAGATTAGTAAGTTGAAAAAAAGCACAAAATAATCGAGTACAATAAATATATTTATAATATTTTTTTTAGTATTTGTTCATTTAACATTTGTTTTTTCCTACGATTTGTTTCATAAAAATCAATATTTAAGAAAAAAGACAAGAATATTAAAATTTCTAATTATATTTATATCTATTCGAAGAGAAAAGTTTTCGTCAGATATAATAAAAGAAATACTATAAAAAAGGCAGAGTAAAGATTATATAATGATAATATTTTTCACACTTTTCGGTTCATATATTTTTACTGCGGCTCTTATACCTATTTTCTTAATAAGATTATGTAAAATTCCGAAATTGCATTAAAATATAATTTTAAATGATAACATAAAATGGATCACTGTATATAATATTTAATCTATTGTCACTTTATCTCATTTTTGAAAAAGTCACATGGATGAGCACAGATTCACCGTAAGATCACGCACAGTCGCGCGGATGGATGCGAATTGCGTTAGTGTCTACTGAGAAATGTCAAACGAGCACATGCGACGACGCCGTCATAGGGTCGCGAGAACGTCATGGAGAATATTGAGAACGTTGAAGGAGAATCGTAGGAGTAGGGCTACGGAAGCTCCAGAATCTTTTTCTACGTTTCCCTCAGTTTTTTGGCCAATCATGGAACGTGAATTGTTCCTCGCGGCCAAAGTGGTTGGTCAGCAATCGCGAAAGAATCTGAATGACATACGAGGCGACTGCGGAGTTTTTTGCTCCGAATCATATATTTGTCGAGAATTACAAGAATTTTAGACGGTACGTATATATATATACGTGAGATATTGTTCTTTTGTGAAATGTTTTATGTGCGCACCGTTAAATTCTCAATGATATTTTTCTGCGAATGTTAAACTTTAAAATAAGATAAAGAATTAGAAATATAATTTAGAAAATTAGAATATGTTATAAAATCTATTTAAAATATCTGTAAAAGTTTAAAATATCTCCTTTATAAACTTAAAATTAAAATATATTTTTAAGTATTTTTTTCTTCTCAAAGTTTTCAAATAATCTTCTCTCTTTCCCAAATAAAGAAAACAAAAATAAAATATTTTTATCAATATTTAAACATTTTTAATAATCAGTTTTATTAATATATATTATTAATATATATTTGTCTTTTTATTATATAGTTTATTTGACATTACGTAATTCAAACATGATCGAAGCTTCTCCCTTCTTTTGAAATGTGATACTAACGTCCTACTAACTTCCGACTAGGAGACAAGTGTGACATACTGTGTTAGAAAGGAAGAAATCATTCGTTTCGGTTGTCAAAGATTTTTTAAATCTAGTAAGAGGAAGACAAAACTTATATCTATAGTAAAGTATATTTAAGATTATTGAAAAAATAAAATTGATTTATCATATACATTTTTAATTATTAGTATATTCATTTTTTCACGCTAACTTATATACGATTTCAAAAAATTTTAATTAAAAATTTAATTTTTTAATATAAAATTAAATATGAATTCCTCAAATTTTTGTTTATTATATGTAATTTATTTTTATTTTTATTATATGTAAAATTGTAGTTTTTATTTTTTCAACATTATTATATAAGTTTGATTGTTTTCTTATTAAAATAATATATTTATAATATTTATAAGCATTAGTTTGTCAACATTTTTAATGACGTAGCTTCAATAAATGAAAAATTTCGATTATATATTAATACAAATATATTGAAGAAATCTGAGATTATAAAAAAGATTTTAACAGTTAATTTATGATGGTATTGTATATATAATTTTAATCTCTGAAAATAATAAACAATATGATAATAAAAAAATTAAATCTTTATAGTATATTTAATACTAAGAATGATTGATTCTTTACACTGATGTTAACAATGCACACTTTTCAGTAATATACAAGTAAATTAACTATTTATGTATAATTTAATTATTATAAATTGAATAATTATTAATATTAAAAGTGTAAAAAACATAGATTCATTTAAATGCAATCTTGCTATTAATAGTAAGATAAGATTTTATTGACGAGGATTGGGAAGATATGAAGGAAAGAAATGAAGCTGTTTTCTTTCTCGAACCGATTCATTCACGAATTCATCGTCGGTGTTCCATTGAGGTTGGCTATTATTCCATCAACGAGGAGCGTAAGTCAATCTCGGTAAAGGCCCACCTAACAAAATACGGGGGGTAGAGAGAGGAGAGAGGGAGGGAACGAAAACTGACAGCCGCGCAAGAATGAGAGAATAGGTGGATGGGGCATCGGCCGGAGTTCGAACGTGGTGGCGGCATTTCGAAGGGTCGACTCCTTCTCGAGGATCACACGTCTCCATTAGTCATCGGCATTGTTTGGCTTCCTTTCTCGGATATTCGCACCTCCTCCGAATATCCGAGGCTCACGCGTATGATACCGAAAGAGACGTGTCGAGAGGCCTCAACCACCTCGCCGAGACACTCGGCTCGCGGCACAGGAAGCGAAATTCCCTGAAACACGAGACACTCCTACTGTGAAACGGTGCCGAGCAGTCTACGAGGACGGGAACGCCCGCTTGAAAACATGTTTCCCAAATTTCACATCTTGCGGCTGGTTTTTCCAGCATTTTCCATACCAGAAAAAATTGGAACATTGGAGTTTAAGCTATAAAATTGCATTATAAAGGACGATTCGAATATTATCATCATTATCGATTGTGTAATACATGTTAACATTTTTATTCGTAAAAAGAGAAAATTAAATAAAATATCTACATTTTAGAGAAATAAGACTAAATATATATCTATTTAAAATAATAATTCATATAACACGTATCACAAAAAAAGTTTTTTTTTTTTAAAGATATTTTTGAAGTCTCCTTTCTTTCTGATTAAGTTTTTATATTTTGTTAATTTTAAAGAATTTAGATTTTTGTGATTCAAAATCTTTTTCTGTAATTTAAAATCTCAAATTTATTTATTAAAATCATAATTCTTGTAAATATAGAAGATTCTTAGAAATATAATTCTTAGAATTTTATTGTTTATTATTTCTTAATATTTTATCAATTTCCAAGATTCTTGATTTTTACAATTGAAAATCTATAATTTTCGGAATCGCGATTTTTGGAGACGTTCAAAAATGTTAAGTATATCATAGCGTTCGTTCTTCCCACGAGTTTTATTTTTCAAGGCAGATGCTTAAAATAAACAATATCTCATGAACTGAATTTTTTTGTGAAACCAAGCTCGAAGTTTCGTGGGACGTAACGTGAAAAAAGCGAAATCCCACAATGAACATTGTCGCGAGCTCGACCGAGTCTTCTGTTGAGTATAAATTCATGAGTGTAGATGTCTGGCTTTCTCATCAACAGTCGAACGTGGATTCTCATGTAACTAACTCAAAAGTTAAACGTTGATGCCGACATATCTACGGATCATAGTCACAGCACATTAAACGCACATTAGACATCCACATATTCGTTGCACATAATCCAATCGGCCTATAAGAAGAATTAACTTCTCACTGAAAATATATAAAAAAATTAATAATAATATTAAATTAATAACAAAAACTATTTTGTAATTTATAAAAAATTGCAATGTTTTTTTCTGTTACGTAAAAATATCTCATAGTTTATGAAGTTAAATCCTATATGAATGTATACCGAGAGATTTTAGATAAATAATCAATTAATTGATGTGACATTGTGACATCTAACGCTCGTTGTCTTAAAGTTTGCCCGTATTCTGCCCTATATTTTGAGATTGGCAAATTTTTTTTTAGTACCAGCCAATTTTATCCGTTTTGTCTGATGGCTGATTTATGCGCGAAATGAACTTCCTGAACTTCTTCTTCGACTACTTATCGAAAGTCTATAAATTAAGAACAGCATCTCGGATAGTACTATTGGTTGGCGGAATGTTGGCCAGACGTTAATATATGTTGGCTGACAGTTTATCAATCAATATATGTTGCTCAGGGCGAGATGACGGAGGTACTCGTATATTCTTGACGACGATATTGCATAACGAGATACACACTCGTCACGTCACGACGGCTCACGAAAATGTTCCAGGCGAATGGCGATCTACAATAAACGTCGGAGTAAAGTACCGAGGAGGGAAATGGTGTATAAGTGCCTCCCCGGGTATTTTTGGCGGACGTATCTGGCCGAACCACGAGCCCTTGACGCGTGTTCTGCCTTTTGAACGCAGTAGCCGCCGATTACCCGTCGCGGCGATGTTCGTTCGATCGCTAGATCCTGCGGGAGCGTAGCACCCCTTTGACGACAAGCATGGAGAACAACTCAACGCAAGGTAAAAATAGAGTGACGTCGAGAGGAGAAATTAATTAAAAGATGTAATGTGCAGTGCAAGAAAGAAGAACCCACTCGAATTTAAAATACATTTTAAGATAATCGATCTGATATTGTACAAAACACTTGACAACTATAGTATAGTATATAACTTGTATTTTCACGTAAATATAATTATTTTATTTTATTTGTAAAAATATAGTTAATTCAGATATTTATCAAACACGTACTATATATGCCAATTATGAATCCTGATAAAAATTATATTAATTATATGCTATGCAGAATTGAAAACCGATCGATACGATGGTTGCTACTATTCTTATTTAAGCTGTTTTGACGGTTCATTTGACGGTTCATTAAATGAACATAAGTAAAATTTTGCGAATGAAAACGATGCTTCAGGAACAGCTTACGTTAGACATCGCGGATGGCACGTGAGAAAGCGAATCGCGGTGGTGATACTCATCTGTGTCGGTTCGATGATCATTTACTGGTTCGTCAGTTCGAGCATGGAAAATCGGCGGGATAGTAGACACAGGGGGTCGACCGGTGGGAAGCCTCGTAAAATGGCCCATTTGGAGAGGCTGTCCGATCAGGTTTTACCGTTAGAATACACGTAAGCATAATGATCAATATACCTCTTACTTCGTTTGTTCGATTATTGAAAAACTAGAAACAAAGAAAAGAAAATTTTTTACAGAAGATTTTTTTGTATATTATATTTATATAAATTACATTTTAAATTACATTTTTTTAGATTTTAATAGAAATAAAGTGATTGTTTTCTCAAATTTAAAAATTTTTCCAACATTAAAGCTTTTAATTATAACAAAAAAGGGAGCTATATTTTAATGCTGCGACATTTAAATAAATGCGTGTTTTCTCTAATTCTATATTTATAGTTGAGATAGAGTATACATTAACTAGTTATCATTGTGTTACGTCAATGATGACGTAAATGTCTCACTCCATGCCGTAGCTATCATTAGTGATTGACATTGTAGACAAACTAAAATATTTACACACAACTTACTTAAGCTACGACTAAGATTAATATTAGAAACCAAACACACAATGTAATAGTCAGATGAATAGCCAGATTTGCGTTTTGAATAACTAAAATAATACAAATATAAACTTTTGAAACAAACAAGATAACACAAAAAATTAATTAATTTTTATCATTTTTATTTTTTAATATTATATCGCAATTTTTTCCTTTTCACTGCAGTTTGAAAATATTGCCCATACTAGAAGAAAAAAATTTCACGATGATTGGTGACGTACAAATTCAGTTTTATTCCAAAGTACCTACTAAGCATATACGATTTCATGCCCATAAACTCTCCATAGAAAATATTAGCGTGGAGGAATATCGTTCGATGAATTCATCGAATATAACAAACACATACATTAACGAATACGTCATGACGGATGACGGAGACTTTATTGACGTGTTCTTTTTACATCTACTGATAGCAAGAGAGACCTATATTTTAAAAATAAAATATATAATTCCGTTACGTGAAGAGCCAAGAGGATTTTTTAGGAGCGCTCACGTAGATCATGCTACAAACGAAACTAGGTAACAATTCGGTGCAAAAGTGTGATATTTAATATTAACTTAATTAATATTATAACTTAATATTAAGTTAATATTAACTAAATTATATTATATTTCTTGAGACTGCAATATAATATGTTAGTTTCACAAATCTAATTTATTTTTTATATTTAATGTAATTATTTTAATTGCATTTTGCGAAAAAAAATTTTTTTTTTAGATGGATAGCCGTATCAAACTTTTCTCCAGACTACGCTCGAAGAGCTTTTCCATGCTTCGACGAACCGTGGATCAAGACACCATTTCGCATTTCGATTGGCAGAAAATTTAATATGAGATCGCATTCAAATTCGATGCGTAAATTCACCGAGGAAATGTAAAAAGAGAACGATTCAATTGCTGTAAAATACATCGTTAATCGCAATCCTCCGATTGCTACAAAGTTTTATTTATGTAATCACAAAGTTTAGTTAAAGAATAATCCGAATTTAATCCAATCTTCTTTTTCCTCAGACATGGCATGCCAGGATATGTCTGGGATCATTACGAAAAAACCTTTCGGATGCCTACTTACGTGGTCGCCTTTATGGTCACTGATTTTTCAAGTTATGACATTGCTGTCAACGATCGACCATCGCATACGATCTATTCCAGAAAAGAGATCGCAAATGATACAAAATATATCGGCAATTTAATATCAAAAATTGTTCGTGCAATACAAAACCTTACCGATTGCTATTACGAATTAGATAAGTTAGATGTGATCGTGGTTCCTAAGCTGGCATATATTGCAATGGAAAATTGGGGCCTTATAACATTTCGGTAAATAAATTAATCTTTTATAATAGTGAAAATTTTTTTATAAAGTTTATTAAGTAAACATATTATCTTTCTCATATATAATTTATTTTCCTCAATAATAATTTATAATCACTGTTATTTTACAACGTGTGTATATTTTATATCGTGTGTATATTTTTGTTGTACAATAAACTAATTAACAAAATTTTATATATAGACAATTAATAATTACATTGATATTTTTAGAGAGGACTTTATTCTCATAAAAAAAACGATAATATGTTTGAATCCGAAAAGTCATTTATTACTATCGTAGCACACGAAGTTGCACATCAATGGTTCGGTAATTTGGTAACGCCGAAATGGTGGGATGAAGTGTGGTTGAAAGAAGGTTTTGCCTCATTTTTTGGACATTTAGCATTAAAACTGGTAAGATGGATAAATCAAATTTCTAAATTGTGCTAATTTAAACTTTACTATAATTTCAGGCAAATAAGTTGTTATTTTTGTCATTGCATAATTTTAGTATTGTGGCAGTTTACTCGCTTATTAACTCGCTTGGTCTTTTAGCTCGAGCCTGCATTCTGGGATTTGCAGGCCAATTTCATGATCGAATGTCACAGAGTGTTTGACAGCGACGCCAGCGAAACGGCACATCCATTACATATTGATATGAGGAAACTAAGTAAGCTCACCGGCATCTTCGATTTGACATCGTACGTCAAGGGTAATTGTATGGTGCACATGATCTATCATTTTCTGGGCGAGCGGATCTTCCTCTCATCTATGCGCCACTACATGCGCATGTATCATTATCGGAACGCCGATCAGGAGGATCTCTGGAGCGCTTTTCAGATGGGAATCGATGGAGCGAGCGGACTACCGGCTTTCTCAGAGCTTCCCATGAAGGACGTTATGCGAACTTGGACGTATCAGGCTGGCTTCCCTGTCTTGCGCGTTCAACAGAACCGAGAAACCGGTGCGATCGAGCTTACGCAGGTGCGCCGATCGCAGATCGATCTCCGGGCGTTTCTTCATCTTGTTCCATCGACGACAAATTATTTATCGATGGACTGCATTTACGACGATATTAATCATCATTATTCTTTTAACGCGATGAGAAAAAAGGAAGCTGGTTTTACTTTACGAATAAATTATATAGAATGCTTCAATCTTTTTCGGATCCTTCGATTAATCTAAAATGGATTTTTTTCTTAGCAAAAACGTAATTGGGTTCCATATTTAATTGTAATTTTTTAATTTTTAAATTAACAGTATTATATTAAAAAAGTATAAATTTGATTTTATATATTGAACGCGGTAGATATCATACATCGCACGATATAAAAAAAATTTATTTCGTTTTTTTTCTATAATATTATAACTTTTCTATAATATTATAACTATTTACAAATTAATTTGTAAATATAAATTGATAACACATATTAATTATTATATATATGTAATTTAAAAAAATTATAATTTATTTGCATAAATTATATTTTTTTAAAATTTAATATTTTCTACATTTTATATATTTATATATATTTTATATGTTATATATGTTTATATATGTTTTAAAATTATAATTTTGTCATACAAAAATTGATGAAAAAAGAAGAAAGAAAGAGAAAGATTATACGGAACATTACAGATAATTTTTATGAATAAAATTGCAATTTATAAACTGCATTATTATATTATAATAGAATCTTATTATATTATAATAGAATTATTATAATATATTAAATAAACAAGTAAAATATATAATTATGGAATGTATATAATTGACGTTGATAAAAATTGCTCGATTATGCGATGTTTATGTTTCAGGACCGATTTTATCATTATGGCCTAAATAGTACGAGCGAAGAGTTATGGCACATCCCGTTGACGTGGACAACCGAAAATGAACAGCAATTTGATAATACCCTGCCGAAGGCATGGATGATCAAGAAACGCATGAAAATTAACGACACTGCTTTGAGCTGGGCGACTTCCAACAACCAGTGGATTCTGTTCAATATCAATCAAACGGGTAATATCTACTGTCGTAATATTCGCCGACCAATTAAGAAGATAATATCTAAAGTAATATTTTTACTGACAACGTGTGTGTGTGATTGGTGTCGATCAATTTGGAAATAAATTCGTGTCTTCATAATCTTTTATAAATTTATAAAGAATGAATTGTTTCATGATGATCAAAATGATCAAAAATTGTCGAGAAACATAAATACTAGAATCTAAATAAAAAATGATACCATTGCAATATCGAACAAGATTAATAATTTATTAATTATAGTATTTCTTTGTGAAAACTGTTGTTAATTTATCCACAAGAAGTCTCTTAATAATTTATCTTTATTTTATTATCAGCATTGTATCGTGTCAACTATAATGTAGAGAATTGGAAATTGCTATCAAAATCTTTCCGAGTTCTGCCGGAAATAACCAAAATACAAGTGCTAACTGACTCGTCTGCGATGGCTAACGCCGGATTGCTTGATAAGAAAATCATGTGGGACATCCTTAAGAAAGTGGAAACGGAAAGTGGAGAAACATTGTGGACACCCGTGCTGTCTTTATTGACTACCATTCAAAGTCATCTTTGGGACTCAAATTTGTTCAAGGTAATGTTTAAAGCTACCGTGATATTTGAGGTAGATTTATGTACAATATTTCAATAAGAAAGTGCAATTTTTTTAATTATCGACCATTCGACAACAAGTTATCGCACACCGGGGAATTCGTTAATCTTCTGCAATAACATTTCAGATTTTGATTCTGTCAAATTCGTTTGTTCTTCCGAATAGAGTCTTCTATACGTGATTGTAAAGGCGAGCACATTTCCTTTTATTATTAATTTATACACGACCGGGGCGCGATAAGATATGCGAGATATAATCGACGTCGCCTCGCGCGATCTAAATCGTCCGCTATGCAGTTCTGGCTTATGTCGTTATTACGCGCAGTTAAGGCTTAAGTATGGCATTATAAAGCGTATGATTATCCCTGGGACAGATATATAAGTGATCATCGACCCATCGGCCGTCGTTACGATTCGACGTTCTCAATTAGGTCGGAGGACTCAATCATTATTTGCACCGAAATACGAAATACGAGGCACGTAACATTTAATTAAGCACTCGCGCCGACCAATGTTGCCGTAACAGTTCCCTTTTCACAGAAGCCATTATTGCAAAAATATACGAGAAGAGAGGTACTCACCGCGAGTTGAGAGGCGGACCTCGCGGTTTCTTCAGGCGCTCCGCGTCCGTAAACCTAACGTGCCAAATTAAATAAATACGTTGCGGCGTATCTCTGCGTTTTAATCCACCCGGGTTTATTGCTCGTAAATTCTGGATAAATGGAATTACTTACTCTTACTTCTTGTGCGAATCAACCGCAGATCTCTATAATGTTGCGATAAATATCGCTGCCGGTTACTTTACCTTCCTCTTCGCAGTTTCACAAGAACACTTTGATGTTTTTAAAGACGGAATCTTGAAACGGGAGAGTGATATTCGCTTGACACGGTAGTAGCGGATAGTTTTTCTTTGAGAAAAAAAAAAAAAACAAGACACATATACAGATTAAAAAGAAAACAATTTTTAAAATTTTTAAACTACATTTTAAAATAATAATTTTAAAGCTTATTATGTACATATATCTGGCAATGTTTTTAAATTGTCATAGATTTTTTTATGCTTATAAATGTCGAATTAATCTTTTTGTAATGCCACGTATCTTTAAGAATCACATACTCATATCTAAATTTTTAAGTTTTATTTTATTTTTACTATAATTTAGTAGCATCTTACTAAATTGTATTATTCTTTGATACTATGAATCTGATTTTATAATAAGAAGAGTCAAGACATATATATCAGGCGTACAATTTTTGTAATAAATTATTAAATAATAGAAAATTGTTATTTCATATTTCAAGGTCAATATTTGTTAAAGCATAAAAATATTTTAGTTATAGATATTTGAACTATACTTGATGTGTATTAGAAGGAAGCCTCTTGTTCTACATAATTTTAAGTTTAAAAGATCTTGATATGATTAATTAATTAATTAATTAATTAATTTATTTATTTATTTATATTATTAAATATAAACAAATTTTAAAAAATTTGTTTATTTTTGTTTTTTAAAATTTTTTTATCTAAATAAAAAACGATAATTTGGTTTTTTTCAGTTTGTCATGTGCAAGCTTATAGATAAAGTATATAACAAAATAGCACCGACGGTGATTAAGAAGGATCCTGTGTTATGGGTACACTTTGAGATTAACGTAATAAAATCGGCATGTTTGGTAGATCATCAAGCATGTTTAATGGCAGTCCACAAATTTGCTCGAGAAATGTTACAAAACAAATCATTAAACTCGTATGTATCATCAAGCTCAAAATATAATTTCAAATTTTTATTTTTATAAAACATAATTGTTCATTTATAAGATATTTCTTTCAACGCGCTTTTATATTAATAATTGAAAATCTTCTTAATTGAATTAATAATTGAAAATCTTCTTAATTGAAAATCTCTATTAACATTAATCGGAAATTACAGAATCGCTCTTATTAAATATAAAATAAAAATAGATATATTTTTTAAAATATTACATTAAATATTATTGTGATAGAAGGAAAATTATCTATTAAACTAGTGTACCAAAGGAATTTCGCGACTGGACATATTGCATATTCATGAAACTTGCCACGGAAGAACAATGGCTGACACTCCTGAAAAGATATAATGAATCAGTGGCACATGATAAGATAAATCTTGCTTTCGCGTTAGGATGTCATTCCAATGCAAGTCTGTTGCAAAGGTATTATATATGATAAACTAATACAATTATTTAAGCTAACATTCTTAGACAAGTATAATACAATATTAATTAATATTAATTAATATTATAATATTAATAAATATGCATTATAATTTTTTTATTTTGTAATATGACAAATAATTTTAGATATCTGTCCATAATGTTTTCACAAAGAAATATAACTGAATATGCTGAAAATGCTCTAAAGTCTGTGGCGATAAATCCAAATGGATATCACATTGCAATGAAATACTTAACTCAACATTGGGATAAATTTAACATAAATAAAACAGAAGGAAATCAGTAAGTTAAATTAAGTCTATAGTTAACAAAAAAGATATTCTGTTTTAAATTTTATATTGAAAAAAATAAAACTTAAAAATTTTGAAAAAATCTTGAAAAAATTTAAAATATTTAAATATTTTTTAAATATTAATTATTTTTCTATGCATTTTATATAATCGTTCAAATATTGTTGTCCAATATCCGTTGTGACATTTTCATTATTATATTTCTAGTCCGGATGTTATAACCAGTGTATTGCTTTCCTTGAAATATATTCATCAAAAAGAAGACGTGGAATCGGTAAGAAAATTGTATGAGTAGTGAAACTTAACGAGAATCGGAAAGTAAATGATAGTGTTCCCTGAAAATTAATATTATATGTTATATATATAAAAAATGTCAAATCGTTACGTAACAGACATGTTGTTCTTTTCTTTCTCAGCTACTACAATTAAAAGGCAAAAACAAAAAATATGACGCCGTAATTGAACATATTATTAATAAAGTTGAGACCAATATCGCATGGTATAAGAAGGAAAGAAATGAGGTAACTGTCGAGTCTAGTTCATAAAACGAAAAATAAAAATGAATTCTGCACTTGAAAGTTAATTGTTAATTATTTGATTTTTTAAATTTGCACGCTTTTTTATTTTTACTGTTTTAATTGACAATTAATTTAGTATCTAGTAAATTTTGATGCATTTATCACCATTTAGTAATTATAATTTACATTTTACTTTTACAATAAAGAAAGAATGAGTATATATATATAGATAATAAAGAATGTTTATTTAATTTGTAGCTTTTAATATTATTAATTAAAAAACAATGTATTTATTTATAAATTATAAAGATTCTTGAATATATTTATTCTACAGACATTGAAGATAATTGAAGAAATTTCTATGGAATTTGCCGACACGAGAAATTGCAGAAAACAAAATATTAATGAAAATATATTAAAAATTTAATGCAATCATGCAATTATTCAACATGAACAAAATAATTATAAGTAATTATAATGAAATTAGTACAGATTGTACAGATTTTGATGCCATGACATTCTAATCAAGAAATAGATTTTTACCGAATTAATTTTTACCAATAAAAATAATTTAACAAAAAAATATTTTGTACAGAATTGAATAAAGAAAGCTTTTAAGAAATTATATATTGTAAGTGTTATTACTTTTTCCTTCAAGCTGAATCAGTACAAAACCCGAAGTACGTGTATAAAAGTACATAAAATATACTAGAATTAAGTATAATTAAGAAAATAAGATTTTCTTTTATTTTTGATTTTTTTAATTTGACTTTTTAGCCTGACTTTTTATCTCTCAAGTATAATAGACTTTTTATCTCTCAAATATAACTATAGAGCTTAAGGCAAACAGAGCTAAATCTTGATATCAAAAGTGATCAGTATTAGAGGCTATCGCATCATTGATATTAAAATGAAGCGAGTGTCGATGACATCAGAGTATCGTTAACACCCCTCGAGGGGTACGAAAGTGTCGCAAGTTCTTACTGCAAGAGGTGACGGTCCTAACCGGACAATAACGAGTCGAGGTTTCGTGTGGTCGGAGAATGTTGCTAAGTAAGGGATTGATTCACGGGCAGTTATAATACCGCCAAACCGAAGAGCCCTAATAGATTCAGGTCAATGCCACTACCGTTCTTCGAAGTCGTTTATTATGTGGGAAGAGCGGACCCCGTTCTCATGCCACACAGGTCGCCAGTAACCTGTGTGTGCAGCGGGCTCCGTAGTCGAGAGAATTCGCTCGCTGCTACGCCAAAGTTAAGATAGAAGGACCCTCTGAGAGAATCCCTCTTCCCTCGCATCGTACTTT